GGCAGAGCCCACGGGCCGAGTGGGACCCGTCGGGAGCGGCCTCGGGACACCGGGAATAGCCCCGAGGACCCAGCCTGCCTGGGCACGCACTCAACTGTGGTCCAGGTCCCTCTGGATGATCCATATGGCCCAAACTCCAAAATGGCCTTGGAGAATTATCTCCAAGCCTCAAAGTATTGTCTCTCCCCATGTGTCCCCTCCTGTCCCTGTTCCCTGCAGGGACATCGTGCTGGCTGCGCACCTGAAGCCTCTGGAGCAGCGGGACAGGCTGTGCCCCAGGAGGAATGTGCTGTGGAATCCCCATGCAGCTGCGGCCCAGGCGCCACCAGCCCTCGCCCCGGAGCTCCCCGTGGTGAGCAGAGGCTTCCCGGGCTCTGCGCAGGGCTGGGAGTGGCTCAGGAATCCCTCAGCTCCCCAATCCCCAGGAGACCTTTCCCAGGTAGTGCTGGTGCATCTGTCTGTGGCTCTGGTTGAGGTTGGAGTCGCTCCTGACTGTGTTCACTCCAGGTGTGATGTCTTATCCATACTTCCCTTTTCCCCTGGAACTCCCTGGTTTCTCTGGGCTGGAGGCACCTAGCATTTCCCTTGCTTCCCATTTTCCCTTTCAGCAGCTCCTGCCAAAGCTCCTGGTAAAACATCTCAGCCTTCCATGGGCTTGCTGGGACGGATCAGAGTCTGCAGGTGGGACCAGACCCAAAGGGCCTGAGCGACTTCTTTTCCCTGCAGGAACTGGACCGGCGGCCGAGAACCTCTGCGGAATTCCACAGGAATTGGCGCAGGTGCCTTCAGAGTGGAGCAGAGAAGTACCAGTTCCTGCTGGAGCTCGGAGGGGATGCCTTGGGCAGCATCTTCAGGGCTGACGTGGGCTTTGGCCTTCTCGGGGAGTTCCTGGTGGTGCTGGCAGAGAACTTCCATCCTGGAGACAGACCTGCAGTGCTGGAGCTGCTGCAGGGCCTGGCAGGCACCAGGCGCTTCGGCCTCAACCTGGAGCTCCTGAGCCCCTCAGAGCAGCACAGCTCCAGGGAGTTGTTCCAGAAGCTCCAGAGCAGCAACAGGGACTGTTCCAGGCAGGGAGGGAGGGAAGGACACCTCATGGAGAGCCCCTTGGAAAGGGAATCTGAGGAGGAAGGGACAGTGCTGGAGCTGATGAGGTGTTACCAGATCAGCTGAGGGAGCAGCAGCACCGGGGGGGAGTTGGGAAGGAAGCTCAGGAGAGACTCCAAGGTCGAGTTTGGCCTCAGCACACTGACAGAGGCCCTGGGGAGCTGAATTCCCGGCTCAGGGCCAA